CCATCTGCAGTTCCTTCATCTGCATCCAAATATCCTCACGCTCACGCTCACGCTCACCCTCACGCTCACCCTCACGCTCAGGAGTTGGAGGCGCGATTTCTCCAACGACAACAACAGCAGTACAAGCAGGAACAAGATCAGGAAGAAGAACAAGGTCCAGGACGGCAGCAGGACGGGGAGCAGGAGGGGGCCAGCATGGCGCTTCAAGCCTTGGGCGGAGGGCTGAGTGTCGCGACCCGTGGGTCGGCCGGGAGCAGCTTGATGTCGAGCAGTGGCGGACGGGACGTGGTAGCGGCGGCTCGTACGGCAGCGGACTTTTTGGCTATGAAGCGCACCTTTCGAGGGCTGGAGATACCGGCGACGGGTGCGTGACGGGGGAGGGGAAAACGTGTGTGTATGTCTGTCAGTCTCTCGGGGGGATTGTTTGAGAGCGTGGATATAAAGAAATAGGCAGGGCGTGTGTTTTGGTAGTTGGCTGGCTTGTACGACCCATACTCGCTCCTTGCTCTCCTTTTTCTCTGTACGTCACTTATTCAAGGGATTTATGGTGGTCCGGGTAACTCCACCATCGCCGCCCGGTTTCCACGCGCCCCTCCCCCTTCCCTTTTCTGTTGTCTCTTCAACTTCTGCACATGTGTGAATGAATGAATGAATAAATGAATGATTCCTTACGTCCTCATCACTATCACCATCATCATCATCATCACGCGCGCGACGCACTCTCGAACGCCAACAATGGTGGTTGGTTTGGGCTTCTTCGCCAAGCATCCATTCGCCTTCACTACCAAGCTTGCGTCGTTTGTTTCTTCTCGTGGCTCGGCTCGCCTCGGCTCTGTTCGGTTCTCCCTTGCTCGGTTTATACTTCATACCTACGGCAGCTTTTTGAATTTATAATACATATTTTACATTTGTATAAAATGCATCACTCACGCACTTTATTGCTGTCCTCTTTCCCGCTTTCCTCTCCTTTTAACTCTTTTCCGCAGGTGCCGCCCCGAAGGCCGCACAGTTGGCGGTTGAGGGCCTCAGCGGGAGAGCGGCGGTTTACTCTGAAGAGGGTGGCGGTGGGGGGGGGAGTTAGGGGGAGCCGGGGATGACCGGGGGTCGGGGGGAACGGGGGGAAAGACGAACCACGAACGATTGAAGCTGCTGCCAGGGCAAGAGTGTACAAGAAGCAGAACTGACCAGGAGGCGTTCTTGAAGGGGGAAGGGGGGCCGGGGGAGAGAAACCCACCACACAGAAAGACGTAACTGTAAACCTGGACCAAACCAAGACTGGATGAGGCGTGTGCTTGTATGTATGTATGTATGTATGTATGTATGTATGTATGTATGTATGTATGTATGTATGTATGTATGTATGTATGTATGTATGTAGGAGGGACCTTGGGGTTGGGGGGCTCGGAAGGGTGAAGCCACAGGACTCCTGGGTGGTTAGCCCCAGCACATGGTTTGCAGGTCCGTGGCTTTTGCACCGTAATGACTCTTGCATCGTCCATCGCCATCGGAGCCCTAGTCCTAGTTTGAATCCTATCTCTGTTTCCGTAGTGGACGACGAAAAACAACACTGGTCGCCAAAAGTCCACTTCATCGTCCTTGAAGGTTTTCACGTCCCACTTCTTCCTTTAAAAAAAAGCTTGTGGCTTGTTCCTTTGTGTTAATTAACTCAGCCAGCCGTCAGCCGCCCATCCATCTTCCCACCCTCAATTATCTATATCTGTTCATATCGTTCCTTTCTTTTCTCGCTGGCGCTCTCAGTCCCCTTTGTCGACCCAAATGGAAAAGTTCGATGGCGCACAAGAAGAGGAAAGGAAGAGATATATCCACAACAGCGGAAAAAAGCATCTTCTGCATTAACATCAACATCAACACCAACCGCAGCAACAGGGTTGTAAAGGCGATCAACAGGTAGTCTGACAGCAGGCCTGCTGCCGCGTCAGCACAAAGAACCCGCCCCTCCCTCCTTCCCTCTTCCCCCTCCCCTCCCACTTGCACATACGAATACACACACATACACATATGTCCGTTAGAAGTGGCGTATGGGAAGAAGGAAGAAAAACGTCGCTCGCCATGACTGCCACTTCCTTTTCTTCTACGTCTCCAAGGCCAACTTCTCTCCTCTGTGAAGCCGCCGCCACAGCAGAGCGTTCCTTCCTCCACCTATGAGTGGGCCCCCGAGGTCCTCCAGTTCGCTGGTGCTGGTGTTGGTGTTGGTGCTGATACGCCAGCTTGGCGGCTGTATTGGTGCTGCAGCTGGAGGTGCAGGATCCTCAGGCAGTCCTCTGTCGCCGTCCTCTCCATTATGACCACAATTTCAATTACAGAAAGAAACTTAATAGCGCTGAAGCATTTGCTCCGACCCCTCTGGATGTGCAAGAATCGGGCGTTGCGGCACATACCATGCGCCTCCCTCGGATCCAAAGTATTAGCTTACAAGTTCCACACAAGTTCCGCACACACGTGCGGGGGTGTCCGTAAACGCCGGGGGGAGAGGCATAGACGGACGGGCCATATCAGGGCGCCAAGCCTCTGCCTTCATCGTCCTTGAGGCTGTTTCTGCAACTGTGAAGGCCTTCAACCTTCGAACCGCTGAAAGTGTACATGTTGGAGCTGGTAATACTGTAAGTTCTCAGTCCTTCTTTGGGGCAGGCGCAACTGGAGTACTGCCGTCGGAAAGGGTGGGTGGTGGTGCAGTTCGCGGCAGATGGCACCTTTCGTCGTACAGCAGCGAGTCCGCGACGTGCTCCTGGTCCTCGTCGTTCTTTCGGGAAGCGTACTCCTTCCACCAGCTGCAACCAAAAGCAAGCGATAGGGCCCAGCGCCAAGACCCGGAGCTCTCATACCGTGGAAAGAGGTATTGCACGCTCAAAATAAGCCAAGCTGGCAGAAGGTTAAGGAGTATAAAAAAACGAGCATTACATATGGGGCCTATGAACGCGATGCATGCAACGCCAGCGTTACACCCAGGGCCAGAGAACGGAGGACCTACCTGCTAAGGCTCTGGTCTAGCTGGGCTTTCTTCTCTTCCTCAGTCAATTCACCTCTAATTGCTCGTAAAATGTGCTCCGGCAGCGCCGGGTTTGCAGCCCCTTGGGCCATGGACAGGGTTGGTGCAAGGATTGCGGAGCAAGACCTTATTGTGAACAAAGTATTCTCTTTGGATTGTGCAATCCAACTTGAGACTTGCTGGTAGACGACTTTCCTAGAAGGGATGCGGTCAATCCGCGACGACACGACTTCTCGCGATCGTCCTACTGCATGATCACTTTGCACGAACTTATGATAGCAGCTTGCTATTTGTTATACCGCTTGTATTTTCTTAACGTGTACCATGACTTATGGATCCTGCCGACCGCCGAATCATCTGCAAAGTGTAAGCCCAGAAAGCGCTCGTAAAGCGTGCCTTGGCTTTGAATATTGTGTATCTTTTGGAAAGCATTGGTGAAACTGGTCCTGATATGGAAGTTAGCCCTCAAAAACTCCCTTTTGGCTTCGCCGTGTCCCGCTTCCCCTAGCTGTCTACGCCAGTACGCCCGCTACACCTGCCCTCGCTGCAACACCGCCTACTGCTCTCTGACCTGCTACAAACAACATGGGGAACGTTGCACAGAGTCCTTTTACAAGTGCGTGGTCATGTCGCCTCCATGGCTGTCTGGCCTCACGAGTTTCCTTGTGACAAAGGCGCCAAGGGCCGGTACTTGCCTTGCCGACGATTGTGCCTGGTGCATTCCTTCTGGCTAGCGCTTATCTCTTGCTTCCTAACTATTGAAAACACACTGTACGGCATACACACCACAAGGCACACGTGCGTGATCATCACCCCCCCTTGGGAACCCCCTCTTCTTCACTTGCCTTATCCAGGTTTTTAAGCCGAGGCCTACTTTCTGACCATTAATATGAGCTGCAAATAACACCATATGTACGCATATCTATAATATATATGCGTGGCTATGTACAAACATATATGCACACAAATGTGCCTTTCAGTTCATTTCGCGGCGGCTCAGTGCATTTTAAGAACAGAAACGTTGGCCACTTTCCCGGTGGAGCAGGGAGCAGGCGGAAGGAGAGCTTCGAACCGTGCGGGTGGGCGACGAGCAGCGCCGCGCCATGCTGGAAATCCTCCGACGAGTGCATCAGCAGCATCAGGAGGAGGAGGAGGAGGAGGAGCAGCGGCGGCAGATTGAGTTGCTGGGGGAGTTCCAGGATCTCGGTTTGAGGACTGGATCCAGATCCAGATCCAGATCCGAATTGGGGGTAGGGCTGTCGGAAGGAAATGGCGACGGTGGCGAAGAAGGTCCACAAGACTATGATGATGTTGATGATGATGATGATGAGGAGGAGGAGGAGGAGGAGGAGGATAATGAGGTTGAGGAGAGGGGAGAAGAGGGGGACGGCGGCGGTGGCGGTGGCGATGGCGGCGGTGGCTGGGGCCCTCTGGCCGCATTACTGAGCAAGGAGACCAGGGCGCGGCTGCACAAAAGTC